GTGAATACATTGCCAAGATTGATAATTGCGTCTATATTGGCTCAAATGATGGAAATACATTTTGTCAATATTAAACTTTTAAAAAGTCAAGGTAATTTTTAAAACTAATTGACAAGTATTTTAGGGGTTACAGGTATATGCCGAATTATTGAATGATTTATTCTGTGCATTGATTGATCAATATAAGGGGGGGGTGTAGACATTTTGGAGAGTCTTTTCATATGTGTTACCTTTTTTCATTCTTTTTTTTTTGTTCTGTGTGCTATAGGGGCTATGGGGATGAAGGAAAATTGGCGCAACAGCTGTCCCACATTTCCAGATGACGCCCCAATAAACCTTTGCACAAGTTTGATCACCTCACCCTTCGCGAGGGGTTTTGTGAGTCATGTCGGACCCTGTGACAGAGAGGGGGTTGTTGGGGAAATGCATGTCCACACTTGGTGGATTCCACCCCCAAAAAAGGAATCATGGAAAGTTGGCCCCTTATTCTTTTATTTATTCTTTCCTCTATGCAGCAGGGACATACAATATTGCATTTTCTTGGTCCAGTTGTGTTCTTGTCTGCTCAGGATGAGGAGGGAGTTCTTATTCCAGCTTTCATGTCAGCTTGCGAGTATTCGGATTAAATACAAACAACAATAACTGCACATAGTTTTGTTTTGTTGTTTGAAGAGGAAAAAAAAAAACAGTGCAGTGAGCGAGAACAAAAGGTTTCTCATTTGCCAAGGGAGAGAGAGACAGAGAGAGAGAGAGAGAGAGAGAGATGAGCAGCCAATTATTGGATGTGGGAAAATCCACTCTCATCATATTGCTATAAAGTGGATATTCTCATTTGGGCATATATCCTCAGCAGAGTGCGTGGTGAGGATTTAATTCAGTGATTAATTAATGATGAGGGATTCCGTATAAAATTGGCTGCATTTGCAGCGCTTCTATATACTCTGTATATAAACGTATATGCGGGGAGGGATAGGGATCTTTTCTGAAATAGATATGCAGGCACAGGTGAGATAACATGAACTTGCTTCGGGAATCCTCTGTTCCTTCTATCTTACCAAATGTATTCTTCACTTTACATTGTAAGCCATTAAATGTATGCTTATACTGTACCAGCCATCACTTTAGAAATTACCCTTCTTTTTTTCAATAAATAAATCACAGAACATGTTGCTTTTGCATATATCAGGGCATAGGTTCTCATTGTTAAACTTGGCAGATTTGGCTCTTGGAAAGTTTGCTTATATTGTCTAACTTTGTATTAAATGTCACAAAGTTGCTTTATTCTGAGTCATATATGCAATAAAATCAGGTTACGTTTTGTTTGCAGTTATTTGGACTTGTGATCACAATGTATTCGTTATACAAAGAGATTTGTGTATCATGTTACAAGATGAATTGATGTGTACCCATCTTTTGTATCACCATGATTTGCTAAACGTGCTTTGCATAGCCATCAAGTGTCCCCTTTTGTTGCAACTGCCTCAATATAATATTCTTCACCAAAGGTTCTTAAAACAAAGCCTGTTCTCAAGACTTTAAAAGAATCTAATTCTGATAAAAATAGAGTCTGATGACTGGTAAAAATCCCAACACCATAATTAAGCCAAGTTCCTTTCTAAATTACATATACCTGGTCTGCAACCTTGTTGCAAACTACAGTAGTTGTATAAATGAAGCAATTGGACTGCCACCCCAATTACTCCATTCCTCTATATATATATATATATTCCTTGATTAATTTTTGCCAGTTGATAACCTATATAGAAACATTTGCTCCATAAACAAAGTGGTAAGCCCTGGTTTGTACCTGGACCCCAAACCAAACAAAAAAAGAAAGGGAAAGGAGTGAGTGAGTGAGAGAGAGAGAGACGTTTTTCTAAATCCGGTCTCTTCCTCCTCTCTTTTTTTATACGGCCCTGCCAGCCCGGGTACAGACGATTTAAGCTGCGAAGTCTTATCCCAGCTTTCTTTTCTCTCTGTCGCTCTTCCTGAGGGTTTATTGCCTGTGACTCGTCGGGGGAAACGAGATGTTACAAATGGCGTCAGGCCGTAAAAAAAGGAAAGAAGAGGGTACGTATATATATATATATATATATATATAAATGTATAAGGGTGCATAATAACGTAAATGGATCTAGTGGGAGGAGAAGGAAAATGAGGGGGAACAAGAAGAAGTTGAAGAAGAAGAAGAAGAAGAGGAAGGAGGCAAAATCTGGACCCAGAATATATTTTTTATTCCATGTCCAGATGAGAGACATTTTTTTTTTTATTCCATCTTTTTTTTTTTCTTTTCGTAATTTCTTCTCCCCTTATTCTCTGTGCTGCTGATGTGATGTAATGTGATGTGGGGGGGGGGGGGGGCTTGGTGTTTCGACTTCCGGACGTCGGCGGGATTTTCATTTCCGGTCGAGTGCGGAAATCGGAGCTGATTTCGAAAGCCGGCATTCTTGCTTCCACACTTTAATGCCGTTTGATGCAAATCTTGTCATCAACGCACCCCCCGTGACAGTTGACAACAATAACCCCCCCTGCTGCTGCTGGACGAAGTCTCGGGCTGTGGAACTTGGCCGAGAGGGAAACGGGAGATCCTCGGGGGGATCCGAAGGGATCCTAGTTTGAGGACCACACAGGCCTTTTTTTGTTTACCCTTGATTCTGGCCGCCGTCTATCGTTTTCATCGGTAGTTATTTTTGGATTGCTGTCTGTGGAATCGTTTCTGCAATATTGCACTCGCTCTATATAGGTTTCAGGATAAAGAATAAAAAATAAAAGTGATGACCAAAAAAAAGCCTTGAATTTATTTTTTCAAGTTGATGATTCTCAGCAAACAGTTGACTGCTGGCCCGAACCATGGAAGCAATTCAGTTTGAAATTCAAAATAATGAAAAGATGAACGCGCACACGTTTCCAAGTTATTTGGCAAATTAAAATGGGCTTTTAAATTTTGAGCAAATCAAAGAAGTCCTTGTGAACTTTTGGTTTTTTCGCTGCTAAGCATGTGACTAAAAAACGTTTGCAACTGATACAGAAATTTACTCACTTATTGTTCTTGACTGTTTTTGAAAAAAATGTACTCGTCCTAGTTTTATTTGAAATTAAACTTTTATTCTGTTTTGCACTGGAACCAATTGGAGTAATTGATATACTGTACTATATTTTTTTAAATTGGAACTTGTGGCTTTGTAAATGTTGAATGGGATGAGTATTGAGCTGCATTGCTGCTGGTTTGTTATTGTTTCAAGACATCCATTGCAATATCCATCATTTAAGCAAAGGAAATTTTGTCAAATGGCATGGCTCAATTTCTATTTGTGAGAGGTCATAAGCTAAACTTGATGTTGTATATATTGCAGGACAGCTAACTCCAGCATACACATGTATTTCTTCTTCTTCTTCTTCTCCTATATCTGACCATTTATTTATTTCGATACAAGATACCCATCAGATTATTGCTGGGAAACCCTCATATCTCCCATACTTGAAGGGGTGGCATGGTGATATTCTTGCTTGACACTAATCCTGTCCAGCATAAAATATTTCATTGCTGCTTATTTCCACTACAACAGAGAGAAAGAGAGAGAGAGCAAAAACAAAAAAAAAGGAGGAGGAAAAGCATATATATATATATATGTATTAGAGCAGAAAAGTTATAGCCCTTTCTCTATATATATACAGCTTCCCCCCCCCCTCCTCCCACCCCCACTTTCCTTGACTTTACCCCAAGGCATTGAGTTGACGAGCAGAGCCTGGAATGAAGGAAACAAAAGCCTCCTCAGCCTGACAGTTGATGAGGAGGAGCTGCTGCAGCAGCAGCAGCAGCAAAAGACCAGCTCCAATCTCGGCTGATACGTATCATCAGAGTCGCTTCGCATTAGTTCCAGCAGTGTGCTGAATGCCCCCCTGGGGGTTGTCCTGTTGTGCTGCTGCTGCTGCTGCTGCAACATCAATTGCCCTCCCCCAGTATGTCTGGGCTGCGCTGTGGGCCAGCGACATCTATACGCACGAATGGCGTCACATCATGTCTACTGCTGATGGGTGTACTGTACAATGGGCTGTATATCTTCTTATTTCATGGCTTATTATTCTTTGAGTATCTCTCTCTCTCTCTCTCCCTCAATTACTCTTGCCAGTAACTCTCAAGTGTTACAAGTTTTTTTGTTGTTGCACCAAACGAGTACAGTATTAAATGGGGTTTTTTGTGGTAGCACTTTAAGAGTTATATGAAGGCATATGTTAGTTGAATACAATTTATTGATCTCAATATTTTAATTTACTGCATTTTTTTCGAAATTCAATGAGCTCTCTATCAGTGCTGGCTACAAAATGATTATTACAACTTTTTGGAGATATTATTGTGGTTTTAATCAGATTTGGGCTGAGAAAAAAAAAAGCCATTCTGGAGAATGTTGTCTTTCACTTAAATTATGCTTAAAACTGCCCATACATTGCTTATGTCTCTCAAGAGAACTTTTGGTGCATGTTTGTTTATTTACAAGCTGCATTCTAGCTTCTCTGGTACTGAAGATTATTGTGGTTTTCTGAACATTTAAATACAAAAACTGCCCAACCTCAGGGGTTGTAAAATTAGAATGGTTTTTTTTTTAAATGAAACAAACCCAGCAGTTCACTCTTGTAGATAATTTTTTTCCTGTCGACCCTCGTATGCAATAAGAATTAAGATCAATACAGTAATAAACAAATCTCCCTCTTAAGAGAATCTCATCCTCACTTATGTTAAAATTATATGCGTAAAGAAATCCAGAGGTTGACTTTTTCCAAGTTATTCTGAAACTGTGCGATGAAGCGACATCTGGAAATGAATAACAAATCCACTTATTCTGTCCTACGAACGGCTTTTCTGATTTTTTAAATGTTTTGCTTGATATATAAAGACATTTATAAATTTCAGACACAAGTAAAATTTAATGATTTCTGCTGGTAAGTATTCGATGCGACATCTGTGTAACAACAAACATGCCTATATATGACCACCTTCAAGGGTTTTACTTTTGTTTTTGTTTTTTTTTTATTCCTCAATAAAGATTTTGGGAGTATATATAGAGAACATGTATGTGAGGAAATTGAGCTTTTCAATCTAGAAGGTGTCGAATAAATCGACGAGTGATTATCTAAGGGCTAATATATTATTGCAGACATGGCTTTTGGGGGACTCTTCTTGAAGCGTGCTGCCATCTCGTGGCACCTTGTCCTGCTGGCCATCTTTTGTCATTCTGCGAGTACTGATGCTGAAGAGCATTTCCAAGTACTGAGGCCTGAGGACATCCAAGTGACTTCCTGGCAGTCAGGTCACCAGCAAGGAAATCCGTCCACTGCGGTTTTGGTGTCTTTTCAGGCCTTTGGAAGGTTGTTATACAGCATTGGCTCATGAATATTATTGTTTTTTCATGCAAGTATTGTTTGTTTACAGACAGTTCAGGCTGAGGTTGCAAAGAGTAGACTCTGGACTCCCAGTGGTTCTTGCCAGGGATGGAAAGGGAGATGAGACGGCTTATCAGGAAGGTTTAGATATACAATTTGTAGAAATCTCTTTTGTTGTATGGTTTTGTTTTAGAAATGTGGCACAATTATACTAAATAGAAAAGGTGTTTTTGTTTTTCAATGAACAGACATTGTCAGCATCTGGAAAGGGGCAGTGGAAGATGATGCAGATTGGCAGGCTGTGGTTCATTTGCCGCCTGATGGCAGCAAGCAAGTGACTGGCTCTTTGTGGAATCGCATTTCCGATCGTGTCATTAGAATCGACGTGAGTGAGTAATGGTGAAACAAACAAACAAATGGTTACAATACAACTCAAATAGTGACATCTGGGATATAGCGACAACTCGCACTTGCTTTTTTAAAACTATTTTATTTCAGTTTTTGCGTTTATAGGCCAAAAGCATCAGTGGAGAAAACATTTTTTGGCAAATTGTTTCTTGTCTGCTGCTTGGGAGGAAGTTTGAAAGGGTATGCTAATACCTTAGATTAGAAGCAAAATCAGGAAGCACTTGTTTTTCATTTCAAATATGAAATTGTGGTGCCAAAGTACTGTATTCATTTTCAAAACCCACTTTCATAACCATTTGTTGTCCACTGGGAAACTCTGGTTGGAATTTTTATGTTGGTTAGATTCACTATCTGGCGCTATTTCAGCAAACACAGCAGTCTTCTGTTTGAATATATATTTCATTTGCAGGTGCAGATCTTTATTGTGCACAATCTTTCACAAATAATGAGGTAGAAAAATTCTTCTCAGTCACAGAAAGTAAAGGGGTATCTTTTTCATATCATGAATTTTGTCATGCATGTGAGTAAATACAGCAGAACCTTTTTAAAAGAAGTTTTATAAATGTGCAAGTGGTTGATATTCCATTTGTTGCTATTTGAGATGCCACTATTCAAGTTATTGGGGAACCAAAAAAAATTATAAAACCTCCCTGTTATTTGGTTTCATACTGCTGTACATCAGGTGGTACCCTGACCTAATCCTTTGTCCACAAAGGGTCAAATTGCCAGACACTTTGTGAAATTCAAAAATATCAGCTTAAAAATGTGAAAAAGTGGCCAAAGCAGGACAAATTGTGGGACAAGGGTCAAAGTGCAAGTCAACCTCTCTGCAAATGTTGACCATCAAATTGCAGGAGGTACTATACCTGTATATATATAGTTTAATCTAATCACTGATGAATTCCCTTGTACTTTGTATAATGTGCAATGTATTGTATTCTTTTGTCACAGACCCAATAACACAATATTGCAGCAATAATATGCTTTTTGAGTGTTTTTATAGGAATTTTTGTTGTGCTGGTAAACAAGCTTTTTTCTTCCTTGGTCCCAGCAGTGGCTATAACTTTGTATGTTGCAAGAATATGGATATACATTATTCGACCGTTATTTTATTGGTGCATATTATCAACATGCAAAAAAGAAGGTACTATATGGTTCGAATCGCCCACCATCATAAATGAATTGCAGTACTAATACCAGCCCAGCTGCAGCCCATGAAGTCATCAGTATACTGCAACCATTTAAAAATGCGCCCTTCTTTCTTTTAAATTTCGAGCTTTGAAATCAAGATAAGATCATAAGATCATAAGATAAGATCATTGGAAAATGAATTGATTGAATACCTGTCAAGGTAGACGGTGATAATGTCGATGACGATGAAGATGATGAAACAGCAACAGCACTTGTATACACACACACACACACACACACACATGAATAATAAGTGGAAATAAGAGCGTTTCCGAAAACTCTCCTGAATCGGCACAAATCCCGTTGTACGTACGGTACACATCTTTCATTTCCATAGACGAAATACGAGGCTTTTAAATTTCAATACACGCTTATTGTACAGCTCTGCTCCTCATCGTCATATTGCATCGCTGAAGGGACTCAGCTGGCGGCGTTTTTCCATGGAATTCCGAGAAGAAAAAAAAAAAAACTTCTCTCAAACGGGAAACTCAAAAAAACAAGAAACACGCTCGTGAATACTTCCTCGTGTATGCACACGGATAATGATCTCAAGAAGAATAAAGGCAAACAATAAGAAGGAAACTGCGCATGATCGCTTTGCTGATTAGATCAGCATTTCTTTGGGGTTTCTGCGCGCAAAAATAAAATAATAAAATAAAGTGGCGCGTGCTGGGGCTGAAAATAAGAAGCAACCATCGATTTGAATTTAACATACCTCTTGAAAAAATTAGTCATCTCGGCATAGATGTCGCTGCTGGTGGACTATCCACCTTGAATGAATAATTTGTTTCTTTTTCTTTTTCTTTTTCTTTTCATAGCCTGCGTCGATTAGGCCTCTTGATTCGCCAGAATCATCATCAGCAGCAGCAGTGCCACCACCACCAGACTCCGTCATAGTGTATCGGACGACGACGAGTCAAGATTTGATAAAGACGGGGCTTGACTACTCATCATCAGCAGCAGCATCAGCAAGACGTCGTCGGTACTCGTGTGCAGCATCGGTTGCTGACGATGGTCCAGCAGGGATGATGACGACGACGACGACGACGACGAGGAAGAAGAGAAGAAGCCCTGCAGCAGCAGCACCAGCACCACCACCACCACTATTGAAGGATGTCCGTGGGTGGAGCAGACTGCTGAGCAACCACACGTGCCCCATTGTCCTGGTGGCAGACTACTCCTTCTTCGCCACCATGGGCGCCAAATCACTGGCCTTCACCTCCAGCTACTTGGTGAATTAATCATCAGCAGGATCAAGTCACGTACAATACTCGGCTTCACATTTTCACTTGTGTGCCTCTCCCCTTATACTATATATAAATATATATATACAGTATATATAGGTTCTGTCAAATTGTTTTTACATTTTTTTTATGTCACCATGCAGCAGGCAGCACACGATAATAAATAAATAAATAAATTAGAGTTGTTTCAGCCAGCTGCTGGCGTTGCGGAATATCGCCTTAACTACGCAGCGTAAAGTTCAGAATAATTATAGTAGATTAAAAAATTAATCTAAAAAACCACGTTTTCAAAAAGCAAAAAATAAACTTAAATGTGGTGCGCATTCATTTCATTTGTATTTCACTTATTCCCAACAATCTCCATGCGCACCACGTTTAAGGTTATTTTTTGGTTTTTGAAAATGTGGTTTTTTAGATTAATTTTTTAATCTACTATAATTATTTTATTCTTTTTTAAAAATATTCTTAAAATTAATTTTTTCACAAAAGATTGCATTGTCATCAGTTTCTAGGCTATCCTGAAAGTTTCAGCTTGATAGCTAGTTGGGAAGTGAGTGAAATTTGAGTTTCAAAATTTGATCTGGACAAACAAACAGACAAGAAAGTGAGTTAATAAAAACGTGTTAATTAATTAGAAAAAAA